GGCAGTGGTTTTCTTAAAACAGATCTGAGGATTCATTCATTTTTAGCTCTGGAAGGAGGCTCTCAGTCCAAATTGCCCCACCACACCTCCTGGCCAACCATGCCCCCACATCAAAATGAACTAACAATCCAGACCTCCACCGACCCCAGACCAGGTACCAGCAGCCAAAAAAAATCAGAGAATATCCCAAGGCTCTGCCACTCAGTGCAAACAAAGGAGAGGGTGTTAAGCAGGGGTGTGACACAATCTGCTGGAAAAGAAGCAAGACTGGAATGAAAAAAGACTAATTAAAAGACATTTAATAAGCCACAAAGAATATTGTGACCTTAACTAGGGCAGTGGAAATGGGGATGGAAAGAAGGTAATGACTCTGAGAAAGCTCTGGGAGGAAGACTCAATAGGATTTGGCAATTAATTGGTTATGGCCAGAGAAAGGAATCAAGGATGATTCTCAGGTTTCTGAGTCGCCATCTGAGGGAATGTTGGAGGTCTAGTGTTGAGAGAAAGATAAGCCTGGAGCTTTTAGGGGCCTGTGGACATGTAGGTGGGGACAGAGAATAGGAGCTGGATATGAAAGTTTGGAGTTCAGATGGCAGATGGAACAGTGTCTTTTCTCCAGTGCGATCTCTGCTGCCATGTCAGTTTCCATTTCTCAGTTGAAAAAAGATGATAAGACATCAGCATACAGAGGATACTTGAAGCTATGGCAAAAGGTGAGCTCACTCTGGTAAGTGTGAGTGTGCAGAATAAAAAGAAAAGACAGCCAGGACAGAGATCAAAGAAATACCAATATTTAAGAAACAAAATTTAAGAAAAAAGGAAAAAGCATCCGTATGACACTGGGAAGGAAAAGCCAGAGGAAAGGGAGACACAGAAAAGTAAAGATAAAGAGCATTTCAAGGATGAAGTGGTCAACTCAGCTGAATGATGCCGAGAAGTCCCAACCTTTTGTCTATATCCTACACTTCCCCCCAACACACACACACAGGACGGTCACTGTCCCACAGTTCTCTCCCAGTGTGTGGTTCCATCACTATGGGACTTCACTCCAGGTGACTGTAGCTCTTCAATAGTGTTGGCCACTTGATTGCAGCCCTGAGGGCACCCTCAATAGTCCCCTGAGTGCATGTCCCCCAAATAAAGTTGAGCAATCTGAACAAGTATCTTTGATCTACACTTTCTGAAACCTGAAGTGTTCCAGGTCCACAACTGCACAGGCACCATCAGAAAGGTGTAGTATGCACCCTCATGAGGAAGGCAGCCCAGCATTGACACTTTCAATTCCAGAGTTGAGGCTGAGCTAGATGAGGGTCCTTGCAGCGGCTCTGAGCAGCCCTAGACTCTGCTCCACCAGAGCTGAGTCTGATTACCTGGATCCTCTCCAAAGGTCCTCTTCCCAGACTGCACTGAGGGCCAGGCCTTCCTTTGTGGCAGCTCTTCCCTACCCTCTCCATTCTCACCCTCAACCCTACCCTTCTCTCTTCCTGACCTGCCCCCCTTCTCAGACTCACAGGCCACTGGGAAAGACTCTGGCCACTCTGTGCTGTTCAGTTGGTGAATCCAGATCTTCAAGCTACAGGCTAAAATCTGAGTTCCTCAACGGTGGCACCTCCTCACTCTGCACGGGTCCTACCCTCCCACCATGCCAAAGATGGAACCCCTTTATAGAGACATTCCTGCCTAGGTAAGAAGAGAAGAGAGAAAACTGGTGAAAGAACGTTAAACCCCATTAGGAGCTTTAGGTAGTGAGAGCCAGCTACCAGGGACCAATGCCAGAACAAGTGCTGTATCTTAAATGTGTTTAGAAAGAAAATTAAATCAGCACTTACTAAATTAACACCTGCCTAAGCAGGAACTGTGACTACAGCATCAAAGCCCACATAAACCTGAAGTATCAACTCATCCAGTTTTGACAAAAGATGGACACAAAATGATTTTGTCAGGATGGGAGATTTCTTTTCTCCGGTGGGATTTCTGCTGCCACTTCAGTTCCCATTTCTCAGTGCTTCACTAATCAGGCCCTTTCCAACAAAAGTGACGTGACGCTGGTTGGGGGAAGCGGGGGCTGGGAGAGAGGGAGGACAGCAGTGAGGAGCCATGTCTCTGGGAAACCAGAGTGGGAAATGGAAATATTTCCTGAATTCCTTAGAGTTAGTTAAATCTGAAAATGGATGTCAAAATAAGAAGTCAGCCACATACTAACAAGTTGTGGGTGTCAGTCTAACACCACCCTTGTCAGGCTCATCATCAGCCTTTACCAGGCGCATGAAAAGGTGAGGGCTCTGACGAGCCATCTGACGAGAGGTTCCAGGAACGCGGATAAGCTGTGCGCCGTCACGCAGCACTACTTAGGTTTCCTCTCTGGCTGTTTTTATTTTGTTACACATTTAATTAAGAGCCTTCCCAGCAGTTATGCGGAGTCCTGCTTCTAAAAGGCAGCACAGTGCTCTCCTCCCCCAACCCCTGCCACCTGACATCTGCTTCCTCCTGCACACTCTTTCAGAGCTTCATGGCTTTCCCAATCCAAACCCAAGCCAGCGTCCCAAGTCTGCCCAACCCCTTTTTTCTTTTTGGATGTTATATGGTCTCAGAATTCAATTCTGCCTAGCTGTGAGTCTACCAATTTGAGCCTCAGTTTTTAATTTTGTTTTGTGTGTTCATTTCAGCTTTAAAGGGATACTACCTCCTAACCAGGGAAGATAGGAGGACCGAATGACATATGGTTATGTACTCATGAAAATGTGGTTCCCTTTCATAGATGCTTAGATTGAACAACCCAATCCCCAAACTTGATCACACCTTGTTGATTACATCATTTCTTGTGAAGATATAGAGCAGCCTCCGGAGTCACCTAAATCTGCCAGGGCCCACCATGCCAAGGGCTGAACTGCTACTGCATGCCAAAGTGGCCAGACTCCAAGCCTAGGGGGCCCAGCCATATAGTCCCCAACTTCATGCCCAGGAACATTTTCATATGCACATACAGGACGGGGCAAAAGTAGCTGTTCGTATTGTGAGAACATGAAACACAGAGTTTATTCCTGTATTGTTATTTATTAATTACTGTATTATTTCCCACACGAACAGCTGTAAACCTACTTCTGCCCCACCCTGTGTATGTACATGCCACAAAAGATTCTGAAATGTGGGTTGTGTGACATGAACATGCCAAAGACCACTAGAAAACCACTAGAGGAGTGGGAGCCCCGGGAGGCTACCTGGAGGAACCAGGCCTCTGGACTGGACCACAGGAGCCTCAGAAGTCTGGTATTAGCCTGCACTCTGCCCGACCCCAAACAGCTTCTCCTGTGCTATGGAGCTCCACTAAGTCCTTCTCTGCTTCAAGTGCTCAAAGCTGCCAGGACACCTTAAACAAGAACAACAGCCTTCCTCTTCCTTTCTCCATGGAGCCCGCCTCTGATTCATACCAGCCCCGCCTGTATAATTTCCCTGACTGATGAATGTCATCAGGGAGCACAAAGATCCCATGGCGCTCTGGGAGCTGTGTGTGCAAACCTGGAGGTGTGTAGCCAGTGTGTGTACATGAACTAAGGATGTGGGAGATGAGGTGTGTGGGTGTTTATGTGACCTGAGCTTGTTTTTCTTCCTCCTGTCTCACCTAGAGAGTTGGTATCCAATTGCAGGCCTGACACCCACCAAGCTGGGTGCACAACTCTGCCTCAATGCCCAGTATCCAAAAGGCATAAAAAGGACCTTGGTGAGAAAATAATGCCTAATTTGGTAGAAAATATCACTCCAGAACCGCTACTCCCAACTCCCCACTAATACCCCATGCTATGCTCAAAAGCATAGGTGCATGCACGTGTATGCTCGTATATAAACACACACACACACATACACACACACACACACACACACACACACACACACACACACATAATGCTTTGCCGCCACCATCAGTCACAAAGAACACAGAGTTATCGATTCTATCAATCCTCAGCAAACAATGCCCCTCCCACCTCCACCCCACTTTAGTTCCCTGGGGGCTGTCTGAAGCCAGGTATCCATGAGGACAGACAAGACACAGAAGTGTCTGCCCAGCAAAGGAACCAGTTTTGTCTTCCAGGATCAGGAGACAAAGGAGGAAAAGCAATGGGACAAAGGAGAACAGAGGAGACTGGTGACTTGGGCAGCTTCCTAGAAGTAGCCCTCTCTCATTCTACACTTGGCTCTCAGTTGAATCATCAGGGCCTAGTATCCCAGATAAGGGAAAAAAAAAAAGAAAAAAAAAAAAGAAGATAACACAGTATAATGGTTAAGAGAAAGGGCCCTGGAGATAGGCTGCCTGGGTTTGAATCCTGGCCCTGTGTGTCTTGGGCAAGTTACTTAACCTCTTTGTTCTCTAATCTTCTCATCTATAAAAATAGAAATAAGAGTACCTATGGTTATAAAATGAGTTACTATTTCTAATGCACTTAGACTAATAATCACTATGCATCTGGTTAAAAAAGAAAAACCCTCTTTGCCCTGGCCCTTGTGTTCAGTGGTTAGAGCACTGGCCCGCAAACCAAAGGGTTCTGGGTTTAATACCTGGTCAAGGGCACGCACGTACTTGGGTTGCAGGTTCAATCCCTGGCCCTGGTTGAGGTGCATGTGGGAGGCAACCAATCAATATATCTCTCTCATATCTATGTTTCTCTCTCATTCTCGTCCTTCCACTTTCCAAAAATCAATGGAAAAAATATCCTCGGGCAAGAATTAACAAAAATACATACATACATATATACGTACCCTCTTTTAACTTCTTCCTTCCAGGGCAATGACATGTAGCCCTGCAACTGAAGGGCTGTCCTAAGTAGTGACACCTGGCAAAAACAGCTGTCCCATAGGCAGGCAGGGCTCCCAGCCCTCTTCTTATCCTGGAAGCCCCCAAAATCCAGGGACTCCCTGGCCCAGATGGGCACTTATTTCTGTGAAAGGCAAGAACTGGTCCCACAGATCCCAAGCCCTGCCAGCAAAGTTGCCCCTCTCATACTCACATGATTTTTAAGTCCCAGTCTCCACAGGTGACAAAAATTGACTTGACGTTTGGATCTAAGAGGCCTTCCTTCGCCATCCACTCATCGACTCTCTGAAAAGTACACAACAAGAACAGATGAGATTTTTCTTTTCCCCCCGCCCTGAGTACATGAAGAGCCACAACAATGAAACGCAGATAAGCTGCTTGTAATCAGAGCAGGAGAAAATTGTAATCTTATCCAACCATGGCTCTGCTCTGGGCTCTCAGCCTTGGCTGGGAACTATAGAGGCACTTGCAGGACAATCCCTATGGGAAGATCCCACAAGACGAAGTGTTGGGGGGAAGGGTAATGGGGGTTTCTCCACACCCTGTTACTTACCATAGACAGGATAAGGACAGATCCCAGTAGGTCAATCCAAATACCTTTGGTCCTCAAAGGCAGAGTCTAGCATAGACATGGGCTGTCCTGGGCCATGAGAACAGGCTGGATCCCCAAGCAGGGACTCCAATCCACAGGTTCATTCATTCACTTATTCATATGACCCTCCCACCAAATGTTTGTTAACCAAACTTATGAATTTGGTTATTCCCCAAGTAAAGTGAAGTTAATTTCCACCATGACTCTAGCAGAAGACCCTTTGCTGGGTGGAAGCAAGCTCATTATCGGCCCCAAACTTGCTATCTCTCCTCTCCTCACTGATGATTAAAATTCAGAAATTCTTTTGAAGGCTGAGCACAATTCCTAGGTAGGGAAAGAAATTGCTCCTAAACACACTTTTGAGTCTAGTTCTCCCTTCATCCCTTTCATGGTTTTTATTATTTGCACTCACACTGGAAGTACAAATACTAAAGTCTGTATATAATGACAGAATTATGATAAAGAATTCATGAAGCATCACCTATTTTTCAGACGATCCCAAGCATGGGGCAGCAGGTCATACCACTGCTCCACTCACACAGGAGGATCATTTTTATTTTATTTTATTTTATTTTATTTTTTAAAATATATCTTATTGATTTTTTACAGAGAAGAAGGGAGAGGGAAAGGAGAGTTAGAAACATCGATGAGAGAGAAACATCGATCAGCTGCCTCCTGCACACCCCCCAATGGGCATGTGCCCACAACCCAGGTACATGCCCTTGACCGGAATCGAACCTGGGACCCTTGAGTCCGCAGGCCGACGCTCTATCCACTGAGCCAAACCGGTTAGGGCAGGAGGATCATTTTTAAAGGCTTTATGGCACAGTAGTTAGAAATGCAGGATTGAAAGTCAGACACATATGGGTTCTAACCTTGGCTCTTCAATATCCTGGCTGTGTCATTGATGGGAAGTCGTTTAAAAGTCATTTAACCCCTCTGAACTTCAGTTTCCTTCATCTGTAAAATGAGGTAGGATGACTCCCCTTACAGATTGCTTTGAGAATTAAATGTAATAATGTATTTAAGTGCTTACTACAAAATAGACAGTAGGCTAAGAAGAGGAGAGAGGCAGATTATCATAATACAATGTAATAGATGCAGTAATAAAGAAGTGACCAGAATGCTACCGGACCAAAAGAAGGAAGTGCTAACTCTACCATTTACAGAGAAAGGAGTCATAAAGGTTTCAGAAAGAAGATAATTGAGCCTGGCCAGTGTGGCTCGGTGGTTAAGCATTGATCCATGTACCAAGAGGTCACTGGTTCGATTCCCAGTCAGGGCACATGCCCAGGTTGCAGGCTCAATCCCCAGTAGGAGGCATGCAGGAGGCAGCCAATAGATGATGTTTCTCTCTCATCGATGTTTCTATCTCTCTATCCCTCTCCCTTCCTCTCTCTCTAAAAAAATCAATAAAAACATATTAAAAAAAGAGAAGATACTTGAATTAGGGGTTTGGTGCTTGACAGGGTGGAACAGAGAAAAGGATACTAAAGGCAGAGGCACATGCCCAATCACTGTGTATTTGAGAAGCAATTATCTGTTTAATGTCAGCCTTCCTCACCAGACTATAAGCACCATGAAAGCAGGGACTCTTATCTGTCTTATTCACTATGGTAATCTCTAACCCAGATATTTTCAAATTGAAATATGAGTAGGGAGTAATGTGACCACAGTCCACAGTCTATAGAAAGGAGGAACAGGAATTGAGGCTGGACACTAGGTTAGGACAGACCTCCTCCAGCTACCCAAGGTCTAAAGGAACCCAGCCTGAGCCTCCTTAGAACATCTATGTCAGATGGATAGATGGATGGGTTGATGGGTGGATTATGGATGGTAAATAGATGAGTGGATGGGTGGGGCATGAATGTGTGGATGGCTATGTGGATGGATGGATGGATGGGTTTACAGGAGCCTAGAAAGTCCATCCATTGACCCTGTCTTGGGATGAGGGAATGACCACCACTCACTCCTGTATCCTCTCTCTCTCTGCTGGCTCCAGGCTGGACAGGGGAGGTGGGAAGAGATGGCCAGGCCAAATGAGCTAAGTGAAGGAAAAAAATAAAAAGAACAAATGAGGCAGGCAAACACCTAGCTAACTACCTGCTCAGGGCCTGGTTAAGACAAAAAGTTAGCTCCTTAGCTCTATAATCAGCAGAGCCGGTCTGGTCTCCTTATCTTGACAGAGACTCCCTGTTTAGGCTGATGCCAGAAATCTTCCCTCTTTCCCACAAAGTATGCTGAAGTAGCAGAAAGAGCTTTCTGGGGGAGACTCAGAATCCTCTGAGCATTCCTCTCCAGGGCTGGCCTCCTGAAGATACATCTCCCCCTCAACTGGCACCACTGACAGTTTGGTGATGGCCCAGAACAAGCATCTTCCTCCCAAGACCCCAACCAAACAGAGACGTTCCAGGGACAAGCTGCCTGTGTTTTATCCTCCCTCAGGAGCAAGGCCCTATCTGGGGATGCAGGCTGTGCCAGAGGGAAGGATAGGTCCCTTCTTTCTCCTTTACTCTGGGAGGCCCCTCAGTCATAAGAGTGAATCTTCTGTCAAAAAAAGAGGAACAAACCCTCGCTGGTTTGGCTCAGCGGATAGAGCGTCAGCCTGAGGACTGAAGGGTCCCGGGTTCGATTCCAGTCAAGGGCACATTCCTGGGTTGGAGCTCGAACTCCAGTAGGGGACGTGCAGAACTCAGCCAATCAATGATTCTCTCTCATCATTGATGTTTCTATCTCTCTCTCCCTTCCTCTCTGAAATCAAAAATATATTAAAAAAAAAAAAAAAAGAGGGACAATAGGGTTGGGAGACACCTCAGAGCTCATCTTCTCCTAGCCTTCTGCAGGTGCCCTAATCCTCTCCTTGCCCAGAACCTGACTGGTCACAGAGCCTGGGCTTGCACACTGTCAGGGACAAGAAGCACTCTGCCACTGGCTGAGCCAAAACCTGGCTCTCTGGCTCTGGTTCCATCCTGGGGAGCCCCAGGAAATTCAGTCTGCACTTCTCACCCCTGTGGGACAGGCCCTCTTGGCTAAATAAACAGCTCTTTCTCCCTCTCCTGTCACCACCCTCTTACCTCTATGCTAACTACCTCCAATGCAGATGTGCCCTGCTCTTCCCCAGATAATCTGCTTTCTCCTGTGCTCTGACAGGGGTTCAGCTTTGGGTGCTTTGGTCTTAAAGAGAAATAAAGCACCCAAGGAAATCTTCTCCCTGCTCCCTAGAGAAAAGGGAGTGGGTGTGGGACCTGGGAGAGGGACAGTCTCCCTCTCTGAAAACCCCCAGGCAGAGGGGGCTGGGAGACAAGCTGAGGCAGAGCACTGCCCTTCCTCCTCCTCTTAGGCTGGAGCACAAGAAGCTGCATCCTAACCTTTACCAGCTCCCCGAGGAGAACATCCTAGAAGTGTGGTCTCTGCCAAGGGTTCTAAAGCCTTTAATTTGATTTTCCTCACACAGGCAATTGTTGTAATTATTCTGATTAGGAATCATTACCCAGTACAGCCTCTGCACCCGACAGGCACAATGCGTCCAGCAGCAAGCTGCAGTGGGGCAGGCGGGCCCAGCCGCACCTCCTGGAGGAGCCGACAGCAAACAAAAGCCATCGATGGGGAGTTCTGGGTGAGTTAATGAAGTGCTCACATGCCACAAGAAGCCAACACTAAAGCTAAACAAAAACACCTCCAGTCCCCGGGGCCAGTCCCACAGTGCCACAGCTCAGCTCCGCTCCTCCCCAACCTGCCCAGTGCAGGCTGGCCAGCACTGGAAGGGGTGGGGGCTCTCTGCCAGCCTCCTGGCAGCACTCGGACATCTTGTCAGTAACCCTGACGGGAACAGCTGGAGATGACAGATCAATGGTTCAATACCCTCAACAGCATGTCACTGATGTGACAGCAAATGTTATTCTAATCAAGCCATAATCATAGTCAAATTACACAGCTACATTCTCAGGAGGGGAGGGAGAGAAAGGCAGCAGGAAGGGATCAGAGGTCAGGAATTAAAGGTCATTCAACCTACCTCCAGCACTTGCTGCAGGCTGGGCTGACCATCCACCATGGCTTGAATAATCCCGGTGAGCTGAAAGGAAAGATAAAGAGCCAATGAGTGGAAAACTCGAAGCTGGAGTTTCTGTTTTTCCTTTCCTTTCTGTTTTTATCCTTCTACTGTAAAGAACTCTGACCTGCACTGCTTTAGGCTGGGAACCTGACAGAAGCCTTGGGAATCAAGTCCTAGGACACACTGTAAACTTCCCAACAACATCCTGCCCTGAAATAGATACACATCTACCCTCTGATCACAGGGTATGTCTCATACCTGTTTCAGCTTTCATTTGTAAGAGAGAAAAAAAAAGATTTTACGTGTCTTTTGTGTTCCATAGGCTCAATAACTCCCCACAAATTTCAGTCTAAAGTAAATCACCTCCAAGCTTCACAGAAGCTCTGGTCGGACTTAGGGAATAACCACATAGGACAGGCACACTTGGTTTCAAGTCCACCCCTTCTCTGGGCCTCGATGTCCAGCATTTCCCCATCTAACACCAGTGAAGGGCCAGAGAGTCCCACAAGCTCCACCCTTCACCCTGTATGCCTGGAGCCTCAATACCAACTAGCCAAGCAGGAAACAGGCACCTTTAACTGATGGGGAAACTCAGGCAATTAGGCCTAAGGTACAAACCTGGTCTAGAGAATTTCTGACTCACAGGCCTATGCTCCACCCAGGGCAGGCTTAGGTTAAACAAGCTTGTTGCTTTATTTTGTTGTGTTTTGTTTTGTAGTGAAAAAATCCCTCAAGCACAGACTAGAACATATCGCTTCAAGGATCTGAGGCAGGAGGTCCCCATCCACAGAACAGGACTCAGCTGGAGATCACCATGCCCACTGTGCCCCTGGCTACTTCCAGAGACATCGAAGGTTTGCTCGGAAACTTCTTATTTTTTTAAGTGTTGGGGGTGCAGATTAAACTCCAATTAAACTATAATTACATTTAATGAATACCAAATACCCAACTCACAGGAACCGCTGGCACTAAGAGGGAAGGTTATTTTCTCATAGTGACTTACATGGAATGGTAATACACACCTTTCAGGGAAGAAATTTTCATTTTAAGAACGCTGAGTTCCTCTAGGTGGGTTTCTGTAGTTCATCAAGTCATTATTAGGTGGTATTTTAAGGAAGTGTAAGGACACAGCCACTCTATTTTATATTCCAGAAACTGTTTTTATATTAATCTGTATTTTAATTGGGTAACAGCTGCTGCCTACAGACTTCCCATGGTCTAAAAGGAAAATAAATTAGAAAGATTAACTACACTGTTGTTTCAAAAGGCTTTAACCCACAGCATGCCCACCCGGCTGGCACCTCCACACCCTTTCCTTGCTTGGGAGACCAGAGAATTGCCCAGCAGAGGGAGGGCTGAGCCAAGGAGAAGAACAGATGGTCTACTGAGGGCTGGGGGCAGGGAGGAGACGAGCCAGGGTCAGCAGCTTTAATCCTGGAGTGCTAAGACTCCTCTGATTTAGTCAACCACTATTCATGGAGAGCCTACACCATGCTGGGCCCCATTCTAGGAACTAGGGAGTCAGCAGTAACGAAAAACATGAAAACCTTCATTGGATCTGTGTTCTTTTTGGCAGCTCTTTCCTATGCCCAGCCCCGCTACCACCCAGAGCATGTACACCTTCCAGAGCCACACACTGAGCAGGCAGTGGCCATGTTGTGCCTCAGCATGCAGGGGTCAGAGTCCAGAGTAGACTTGTTACCAACTCCAGCTCCATATCCAGATGACTACCACCCATGTACCCACACTGCCCTTTCTGGCCCAGCTTCTCTTCTGCTTAGTTCTCTCAGGGCCGAGCTATATCCCCAAGCTCGGAGCTCTGGGTCAGGACTATCCTGGAAGAGGGCCCACATCCATTCTTATTTCTTGGAAAGCTCCAGGGTCTGTGGGCCAGTCTCATATCTGGTCTGAGTTTCTGGGACAAGGGAGGGCTACTCCTTCTCTTGGCTGCCACCAAGGGTCACTCAGATGAGATCAATGCCAAAGGCTTCCAGACACACAAGAAACCAATGGCACCCTTGCCAAGAACCCTCCCTCCTTGGAGATGGAACTCAGGTCAGCATCTGTACACCCCAGAAGCACCTGGTCTGGGCCCTAGGGAAATCCCTGGCTTGGGAAAGAAACATCACTCTACCAAAAAGGAAAACCAGGGCGCTCTCTGTGGGAGCTTCACCACAGACTAGGCCTCCTCTTTCCACCGTGGAGGCGGGGTGGGGCGCCAGGGTCCTGGGGCTTTCTCACACTCCTCTGCAGTGGTCAGTAATCCTAGAATTACCAGCGTGGGAGGAACCCAGTGAGCTCAGCTCCCTCTCTCTCCATGCTACCCATGCCACACTGGTGGTCCAGCAAGACACAGCTTACAGCTGACTTCCTAAAGGGCTTGACTCAACCCCCAGAGACACAGAGGCTTGAGCTCTTGGTTCAACTAGAGGCAGTCTTCCAGGGGGAGGCCTCATTCCCCTGTATTATCAATTCCTCCAAGGATGGACTGCTATCTTTTCAGCTCTGCCAAGGCACTGGCTGAAGAGGGAGTGAAATTAAGAAAGTTGGTCCCTCTACCTGATACTGACAACCAGTAAGACACCTGTAAGACTTATACCACAAGCTATGACAGAGAGAGACAAGAGACAATTTAATAAAATAACTACTGGGAATTTCTACCTTAGGCATAACTTAAATCTTTCATGCCACAGTTTAAGCTCATTTCCACTTGGGTTAATATATATTTGTAAAAAGCTTTCGCATCCTCGCAATGAAAGGTACTAGAGCAAAGCCAAGTATTATTAGGGGGAGAACCAGAGCTCACAGGCTAAACAGAGCTCAGAGACCTTAACCACTTAAAGCAGGAGAGGTGAGAGGAAGAATTAATGTGTGTTCTGTGGCTCCTTTCACTGAGGGATTACAGATTAACTCCCGCTTCTCCAGACTCGGAAACCACAAGGCGAGGGGCTTTTGACCCTGACTGATAACATGGCTGGTTACTGAGATCCCCTACCCACACAAGGGCTTTGTCCAGGAATGAGCTGGCTTCATCACAAACACTAGCAACTACAGGAAGCAGCACAAGACACTTGGTGCCAATAGTATGCCAGCATCCAGCACTTTCTCCTTTCACAGTTTATCTCCAACACAATCGTATTCTGACACCAAGACAGTTTGTTGATTACATAAGCACTTGTCCCTGGTGTGCAATCTGATAATCAGACCCACTCTTTCTCCTCAGACAAAAAGACCAATAAATCTCACCCTTTATAAGTACAGGTGAAAGACAAAGCCCTTTACTGGCATTTAGCAAAATGGGTATTTTTCTAGTTTTTTTTCCCCACAACAATGACAATGACAAAAAGACTGCCCATGTCAGGGACTGTGTGGCAGTCCAGCTGCTGGAGACAGATCTGATGAGCTGGATCAGATTCTAGAGGTGGGAGGGATAGGGCTTGGGAAGGAATGAAACACATCCCATCCTATCCCTGTCAGAACCATGTCTCCAGGCTATCAACTGAAAGTAAGAAAGGACCTCAAAAAGGCCAGTAACATGTTCATTACACAGAGCAGTAAGAGTGTGTGTATGTGGGCTACAGATTCACCCAAGGCAGAATCCCTCTTCCTCCTGCCAGCACTGAGTCTATCTCCTTCCCCCAGCACAAGCATATGCTCATGTGTGTACTCATGTGTCATTTGTGTGTACACACACACACGCCTCTTCCTCCTGCTAGCACTGAGCCTATCTCCTTCCCCCAGCACAAGCATGTGCTCATGTGTGTACTCATGTGTCATTTGTGTGTACACACACACACGCCAGAGTTCTTAAGAACTTGTGCAAGAGAGAAAATTCTACCAGAGGAGTTGCTTAGGCACAACCAGGAGCTTTGGAATTGTTCCTCACACTTACTAATGAAAGGGTCCCTCTAGCTGGAAAGGCCATTACTGCCAGGTTGGATGAGGTCTGAGAACAATGGCCCCCATCCTGTGTCCATGCCTCTCTCTGCATAGCAGTTCCATATGGTATGGAGACAGGGCAATATTTAGATGATCCAAGGTTTTCCAAAGACTTTACTTCTCAAAAGAGCAAGTCAGCAGTACAGTTGTTACTCTAGGAGAGGCAAGGTGTGGTCGAATAACTCCTTGACAATATTAATCCATTTAAGGAACATGTATTAAGTGTTTGCTTGGTACCGGGCCCTAATGATGGGACAAAGATGGATCAGATCTAGTTTCTGCTCACTGAGTTTAGTGGGGAGACAAGATAAATAATTACAGTATAATGGAAATGATCAGTGTTATGTTGGGGTGAACACAACCCAGCCTTCCCAGAGAAGGTGACCCTGAGCAGAGTCTTAGGGGACAAGCAGGGCTGGGGGAGGAGAGAGGAAGCATCACCCAGGCAAAGGACCATCATGTGCAGAGGTAGATTGTGAGAGGGTGACGTTTGGATGAGGGAAGTGAAGGGAAGATGAAGCAGGGAGATATGAGGCTGGACAGAAAGGCAGCGACCCCGGTCAGGGAGAGTTTTGAGCTCTGGAAGCCTGGCCACACTTTCATACTCACAACAAGGATCTCCCAACACCACCATGCCTGCTACCATCCAAATTATGTATGTATGTCCTTGAGTGAAACTTCCTAGAAATTTTCATCATAGTCCAACAATCCCTCCCCACTAAAAAAAAAAAAAAAAAAAAAAAAAAAAGCAGCAGCCCTACTCTAAAAAAAAACACCCTTTCCCCAATACTATAAAGCATCTACTCTTGCCCAGGCTGAGCTCCAGCAGTGCTCTGCTCCATCCCTAAACAGGAAGAAACCTTGACAAATCTGGGCCTCCTTGTCTATGCCAAGCAGCCTAGCTGGAGCTGGATCCCCCAAGGGGAAGTTACACAGAGAGGAGGAAGAGAAGGACAGAGGATACTACACTTTCAGGCCCATGGAGGGCTCAGGTAACTAGCTAGTTTAAGGAAAGTTTTCCCTTCTCCTCCTGTAAGGAAGGGGATTTTCATCACCATCATTAAAATGGTGATTTTTCAAAAGGGGCAAAAAAGACAATTGGTACCCCCTGGTGGCATAGGTTATTCCCAGGGAAAGGGGGGAAAAACAGTAGACCTCCCAAAAGGAGAAAGAACCTCAATGTCATTAGCTGGAACAACAAAAGACTTGAGAGACTAGACACCTTGGCAGGCGGATGCCTGTAACAAAAGGCCCACCTGAGTCAGACAGCAAACACTGGCCCAGGAATCAAGCCCAGGAATGACCCGCCGAACCCCGTATCTGGTCGGTCCCTCCCACCATGGCAGGCAGGTCCTTCCCCAGCTTCCTCCAACCAAGATTGTTTTGGGGTTTCTCAAGAACTTCTTTCCTCCTGTTTCATTCATATGTAAAAGTAGGCCTCTAACTGAAGGCACAAAGTCTTAATGTGTCCCAGCCCCAAATTCTGAAAGGATTCTGGAAATACTCATGTTCCCCCATCACCTCTGTTACTACATATTCCTGACCATTCTTGTGATTTCACCACAGCCTGTGGCCACCAGAGTATAACATAACACATCACAGGGGAAAGCAGGCACAGAAGGCTCTCTGTACAGTCATGAGTCAGAACTCTTCAGGGTGCCTCTCTGCCAATAGCTCATTTGAGCCTCCAGCAAGCACATTTAAGATCTCAGTTTCCCAGACTGGAAAACGGGGCTAATGCTGACCTGCTGACAAGGTGGCTGAGTTCAGTGCCAGCCTAGGACAAGGACAGGGACAGTTCAGCCTTGGCCAGGCTGTGCTCATACCCCCACTGGATTGCCCTTCTCTTTCCTCGGTGATGGAGTGTGCTTCCTACCTACAAACTCAACTGATGTTTCACATAGGGCTAGTTTCCTCAGACAGAGAAACATCGTCAGAAAGCTAAGAAACCCTGAACCTCTCCTTCTAAGAAGCTGAAATCTTCACCTCTTGTCAAGGGATCCTAAGGGAAATGAAACTGAAAAGAAATCTGAGCCCCAGAAGCACCATCTTGCTCCTTGACTCCAACTGCCCCATCACCAGGAAGGGTAGGAATTACAAGAAAGGGAAAATGTTGGGGAAACTGGGACAGATTGTGCCACTGTTCTCCCTGGGTCTCCAATGACCAGAGTGGCCCAAATGGAGTGGCAGACTTTGTAAAGAGCCAACTGCTGGGTCCAATGTGCACCGGCCTAAACTGCTGGTAAGACCTAACTTTCCCTAATGAGCCTATATACCAATGATCCAAAAGCTCCTGCCCCAGTGGCCGTTGCTGCCACCTGCAGGGCCCTTACCTCTGTGCAGAAGGGAGTAAGCTGTGGATGGATTACGGGCTGGACATACATGTGAAAAGTAGACTCAATCTCCATGGTCCGGCCATTTAGCTTCAGGATGGGGAACTCGATGATTTCCTGGAATGGCAAATACACAGAAGAAGTGTTTGTTTATTTTTTAAATCAACCATTTCAAATAATAACGCAGAGTTAAGAATGAGAGAGTGTTTTGAACTCAGTACCTCCTGCTAGGCCAAACCCAAGACTGAGTGAGATGATGCTAACTCAGTCAAGTCCTAACCCTCCCACTGTGAACATGCTCAGGTTCCAGGGACTGGACACATGCCCCATCCCCGCTGTCTCTGGAAAGAAGGTAGACACTGGTACAATCTGCCCCAGTTTCCCCAAGTGGTTCTCTAGCAAGTGGTTCACTGGAGCCCCTAAAAGGGGGCCCTTACTTCCCCTGACCCAGGTCCCTGCCGTGGAAGAGGCCTGACTGTCCAGCCATATAGACAATCAGCCATCAGACCGATGCACAGCCTCCTGTATATGAAGTCTAAACAGAGCTGAGGAGTTTCATTAGTTTTTATAAAAAACAATAACAACAAAACATAATAAATAAAGCCAAAGGGGATAGTAAAGAGGCGAAAACTGAATAAGAGTAAGAGCTAGTGCCTCCCACCTTTCTTTCAGGCAGCAAGCCCTCCCCCTAGGCAGCTCCCCCACCCCAAATCGCTTAACCAGCCCTTCCCAGTCCACTGGAACGTAATGGAAGAGAAGGAGGAGTGACAATTTGTTTGGTGTCTCTAAGATTAATTTGTCTCCGTTATTTAATAGAGATGCACAGCACCAAGGTCCTGGTGTGCAAACAGGCTTGCAGAACGCTGGCTGTGCAGCAAGCCTCATACATCGCTCCTGGGAAGGGAGGAACGCACCAGAGGGGGGAGAGGGCAGGAGAGAGCACACACGCACCAGAGAGAAGAGGGAAAGCAAGCAGAGAGAATAAAAAAAATTATTGCTTTTTAATATTCAAAAACAGTTTGCAAAATTTAATCAAAGCAGAGGAAAAGCTAACATTTTTACCACTTTGACATTTTTATTAGCGCTTTCATAAATTTTTAAAACATGAATGGAATTAGTTTACAACACAAAAAAACTGCCCTGAAAACATCTGGAAGAGACAAATAGGAAATAATAAAAAAATAAATAAAAGCAAAATCCTCCGAGTAAAATTAGCATGTGGAAAAGGCCTCCACTGCAGAGAGAGAGAGAGAGAGAGAGAGAGAGAGAGAGAGAGAGAGCGCGCGCGAGCGCTCTGCCCAAGTGGTCCCAGCAGTCAGTTCCAGGAGCATCCCTATCCCAAGTCCCCCATTCTGGAGAGAACCCTTCCAGTATCACTAAAATCAAGGCAAATTGGTTCTGTCCAGGGAAAGCCTGGAGAAGCAACAGTGAACGGTTAATACCTAACTACACTCAGGAATCAAGCACATGGAAAGACAGGAGAAATGGCCAATCTCCTTGATATCCCAGGGTAGCCAGATATCCTTCCTCCAGCCCCCTAAACATACTCACTATTATCTGGCTGATTTGTAAAGCACCCATTTTTATCCAACACATTACAGCAGGACTGAAGACCAAATCAAGCCAGTCAGATTTCACGTTGGAGAAACTAAAAGTTCTGGTTGACTGGTCTCCCTGGGGTGATCCCCAAAGATGGGAAAATTGACAGGAGCCCCTCAAAATAGGAAGGAAGAGAGGCTGCAAGGCTGAAGCCAAGTGGGGGGAGGGGGAGCCCGAGAGGAGGCCCAGGCTGCTGCTTAGACTGGGTGATGCTTCTCCTCAACATGTTCCCCATTTCCCTGGGCCTCTCATTCTCCACAATGCACTACAAAACTGGCCAGGTGGAAGAGTGTAGTGCTTTAAAACAAAGTTGAGGCGCACACACACACAACATACATATTGGTCCCTCTGAAAAATCAGATATCCAAAACCTCCAAGAGCTAATTCTAAGGTGGGGCGCATCTGAGTCAGGCTCATCCGACTCCTCCATTTCTAATGTATCTTTCGTCTCCCAGTAAGCAGAAAAATACTTCCCCAAGAGAAAGAGCTCCATAGCCTGGTGAGTTTGGCTGCCCTGGTGTCTCAGGAAACAAATACAGCCAGCTCCTCACTAACAATGTTAGCTGGACCCACAATGAAATTTAACCTGTGACACAACTGGACTTTTCATTTAAACTTTCATTTTGAGAGAAGCAGTATTTGGAGACCTGCAGTTTGTCCTGCTAATAAAGACAAGTGTTGGGACCTTTAAAGATGTCATTCATCTCTGGCTTTTATTAAATTCAATTTTCTTAAGCCCGTGATACATTATGAAATTAGGGGTTGACATTCCTCTGGAAACAAAAATATATATCAAACACAAATAGGAAAAAACCCTCTATTACCAAGAATTTATGGCTTAAAGTTTATCTCTTTTCGTTTTTTTACAAGCACGTGGTTTGTTTTAGATATCTGAAATGTTATTATGGATCTAAATTTCATTAGTATTTTTTATAAAACAGTAAGCTCTTGCTCTGACCAGCACCGAGTCAATATTCCTAGTAGATTCTCTGAAAACTTGGCCTGCGGATTTCCCCACTGCGGTTGTCTTCAAACTTTCCTGCTGCTGGCTTCTTGGGGAAGCAGAGCCAACTGAAGTGCTCACACTTATCCCCCTCCTAGAGCGGAGGAAAAAGTAGCCTCAGCTCCATGAAAAAAGACGGGTAACTCACAGAGGTTACCTCAAAGTTTTAGGTTGATCGCATTAATTTCAAGAGCTTATGAAGAAGTGCTTAAGTGCTAGCTTCTAGGGGCAGTAGTTTTGAAGTTATTTGAAACTTATTCCTGCCCCTTCTCCTTTCCTCTCACTCAATTTCATCATTCCCTTAGAATGATGAAAAATGATGAAAGGGGTTTTTTTGGTGTTTTTTAAGGAGTAGTTGAGTGTCTGCTTGTATAAAGGTAGTGCCAGGAAGGAAAGAACCAGTTTGCACTTACCAGTCCTCTTTCCTTCTCCTATTAATAGTTTCACAATTCCTTACATTTGTATGTCATTTGCATTAAACTAAACTGCCTGAACATCTACTGGGTGCAAGACACTGTGCAGGTGTTGGAGCAGGATTTAGAATTAAGATGTAGCCCTAGCTGGTTTGGCTCAGTGGATAAAGCGCTGGCCTGTGGACTGAAGGGTCATAGGTTCAATTCCAGTCAAGGGCATATGCCCGGGTTTCTGGCTTGATCCCCAGAGGGGGGCATGCAGGAGGCAGCCAATCAATGATTCTCTCTCATCATTGATGTTTCTATCTCTCTCTCCCTCTCCTTTCCTCTCTGAAATCAATAAAAAATATATTATTTAAAAAAAAGACTTAGTCTCCGCTTTGGAGAAGTCCACAGACTAATGAGCAGAAAAGATAGTGAACAAATAATGAACAGTGCACTAAGATAAGTATCTTAGAGGAGGAACATACCGAGTGTTAGACTTTTCAGTTTACAGTGTGCTTTCAAGTATATTTTCTTATTTTACCCTTATTAATTCTGGAAGATAGGTCATATCATCATCATCATGAGGTCATACACCAATACTATTAAACACCTACTATTTACCAGGCAGGGGCTAGGTGTGGACAGATAAATACAGTGAGATGTGGCTCCTCTCTATGAGGTGCTCAGAGTCTGGGCATCCTTGGAGATGTGCGGAAAATGAAGTCATTTCATTCCTTCCATCTATTGTTTACTATGTGGCAGACACTCTGCTAAATGTTAACAGGAATGATCTCACTGAATCCCCCTTACAACTCATGAGGTGGGAATCATTATTATCCCTATTTTACAAATCAACTAAGGCCCAAAAAGAAGCTGTCACTTGCTCAAGTTATATTGCTAGTTAGGGACAGAGCTGGGACTCCAAATGGGGAAAATGAGACCTAAAGAGAGTAGGAATAACAGCTTTCAAAATTTGAAGGGCCAAGAAAGATCTGATTCTTTTAGTCTGAAAGGTTGTCTTTAGGGAGCTCAGTCTACTTTCTCCAAGGGATCAAGGAGCCTCCTGGCCACAGTGAAGAGGGGAGGGTGAGAGTGAGAAGTGAGGGCTGCCCTGGCTCTCAAGTTACCCGAGCAATAAATGTGGACTATCCAGGCAGAAAGCCCTAGTGGACTGCTACCAAAGAGCCTCCACTACGGCTGCAGTGACACAGATGCTAAGCCTTCAGTTTGCATCTCTAGCACCCAGCTCCATTCTAGCATGCAGACTTCACTCTCAACTTTTTTGTTTGTTTGTTTTTCTTGTGGTTTTTGTTATTGTTGTTGTTTGTTTTTTTTAATCCTCACCTGAGGATATTTTTCCATTGATTTTTAGGGAGAGTGGAAGAGAGAGGGAAAGACAGAGACAAATAATGATGTGAAACACATTGATTGGTTGGCTCTTGCACACGCCCTGGCCGAGGACCTGGCTGGGGAGGAGCCTTCAACCGAAGTACTTGCCCTTGACCGGAATCAAATCAAACCCAGGACCCTTCAGTCCGCAGGCCGACACTCTATCCACTGAGCCAAACCGGCTCGGGCCACTCTCTCAACTTTTGATGAGTAAACATATGAAGGAGCTGATAAATGGCAAGACAGAAGCCAAGCACATGGCTCTAACAGAAAACACTGCTTTGACCAAGTTCTCCGTAGGACCAGAGAGGTGATCTACCTAAGGTGACAAAGATGGAAGCCAGAAGTCAAACCCCAACATGGAATGAATGCTCCAAAGCACTTTCTACCTGATCCCCTGCCTCTCATCTTTAAGCGGTTTCTTATCCTCCCTCAACTGCTAAAAACTGCCAATGTCCCAGCTTTCTGTTTGTCCAGACCAAGGGTTTCCTGGAACACAGGACTTTCAGGGCTAAAATTGGGACAGTTGGTCACTCCACACCATCTAGAAGCTGCCTGCACCACTAGGTTATCAGAAAGTAGAGCACCATAAACCCAAAAAGCTGATGGTGGATGGGGACTGGCCACAAATTGACAATTAAGGACAAAAGACTTAGAACATGAGATTTTCAAAGTATCCAGGGTTCTAAACCAATGATATCCGCTGTCTCCCTCAATAAAATGACAGC